CTTTGTTTCATTTGCTTTCCGTGTATCAACCAACTAACCCATCGGTTCCTCTCTCTTTCTGTCCAGTGCGTTACTTTGGATTCACCTCAAAATAAATTGTAGACTTAGGATGACATATACCTTATCCCTTGACCCTGGCTCTTTAACTTTTTACCTTTACATTTCTTTTCAACTTTACTTTTGTGTGTGTGTGTGTGCATGTGTGTGTGTGTTTTGAGACAGGGTCTCCCGTACCTGTCCTAGGCTGGCCTCCAGTCCCATGTGTAACTGAAGATGTCCTTGGTCTTCTGTGTTCTCTCAATTTTCAGTTTCTGGCGTCCACTACCACATCCACCTTCAACTATAGATTTTTGTTCTGTTTTTAGGATCTGCAGCCTGGAAAGATAGCTCACTGTACAGTCTCAAAACCAACCAACCAACAACAAAAATAATATGTTTTAACTTTGCAGTTGCCCATTTGCTCGATTTGCACAAATATTACACTCATGCCTTTTAACAGTCAAGGCTTCATTGTCTCTGCCCATGCTTCATCAGCCTGGCAGCCCAAGCGTCTTCAGGCTTGCGCTTTCCTTTTTCTATTGCTTCCTCTCTTATCTCTTCACTCACCACAGCTTTTCAGTTGCCTTTCCTTCTCCCTTTCAGCTCCCCAGCAGATAATTTTTAAACTAAACAACAGCTGAACAATACCCCACTGTTCTTCATGTCTGGGTATGCAGGGCACGTCCATGCCTGCCCAGAACTGAAGGAAAATATCATCTCCCATACTTTCTTTGCACCAAAAGCAAATAAATCTGTTCACAAACTTCATATGGCTACGTTAAAGTCTATGTAACAGGGCGAGCGAGGCTGCATTCTCTGCATAGAATCTTTGTCACTAATCAGTGTGGTAAATGCCAAGTGGACAAGCGTGGTGTGTGGGAAGAGGGAGAGTCAACCATCTTACAGTTGCTCCATTGTTTGAGCCATTAGGCTGCAATTCATGCTTGGTTACATATTTGCATTGTTATAACAAGTATTTTCTTCTTTTAAGATAGCTTTTGGAGGGTCCTTTGCACACATAGTCTTTAAAAAGCAAAAAACAAAATAACATTACTGGCACACACACAAGAGGATGCAAAGTTGGGAAGGTGGGAAAAGGGGCATGGGGCAGATCTGGGAGGAATGGGCAGAGGAGGGTGACTGTGATCAAAATACACTTAGGAAATTCTCAGAGAACTAACAAAAAAAAATTGTATGTCAAGCAAACAGACCCTTTCTAAGATTTAGTCCTTTTCATTTTATTCCCTTGGCTGGCTGTGTTTCATTTTCTTTATAAAAGCTGTTGGCTTCGAAGTAAAAGACAGCAAACAATCTCTAGCAATTCAGGCACCACTGTGTTTTCCTCACTAACAGCCACGATAAAGCTTCCTTTAAAAACCCCAAGCAGCACTTTGCTTTTCAGTGACCATCAGTTTCACAGCAATCCTGTCAACCTTCTGTAGGATTACAAGACCAAATTGGCAGTTTGTAAGGGAAGAAGCAAAAAGAAATCAGAAGGAAGTTTCTCATTAAAAAAAAAAAATATTGCGGTGGGCTGGGGCATAGCTCCCTTGGTGGAGAGCTTTTCTTACACTTGAAGCGCTGGACTTGGTTCCCAGCACCACGCAAACCACGCAAGGCAGTGGACATTTGTAATCTCAGCCGTTGGGGGACTGAGAAAAGGCACCAGAAGTTGGAGGCTGTATAACCTCTGCTGCAGAGCTGGTTTTCTCAAAAAGAGAAGAGAGAGAGAAAAAAAATTATGGAAGTGGAGGAAATGTATGCAGAATTATACTCATCATTCTTAGTTTGAAATGCCCACATCCTTGTTCCTGAGCCTTTCTTGCTTTGACCCTGGAACTGTTCCTGCATGGGTTCGCTCATTTATCCAGCCCTCGTGGATCCCCTGTTCCACACAGAGCACTCGATGAAGTCTGGGTAGAAAGGGCATGTGTCCACCCTGCTCCCCAAGGCTTGTCGTTTGAAGGGGGACACACACTACCTGTGGATTATTACTTGCTGAGATGCTGAGATGGGGTTCATCAGGAAAAGGCAGGAGAGCCTTTCCTTAGCGGAGAAGGCTTCGTGTGAGTGGGAAGGCTTCCTGGAGCAGTTTAGGATGCATGGGATTGGACAACTGAAAACTCATAGTTAAAACTTCCTCTTTTGTAAACAATAATTAACCCAGCATAGTCTGGATTGGAGATTGAAAGAAAAAAGAAAAAAAGAAAAAGAAAAAAGTCCCTGATATAAGACTGTGAGCTCTGAGTTTTATCCTGTGCACACCACCAATGTGGATGGTGAGAGAGGAGAGAGAGAGAGAGAGAGAGAGAGAGAGAGAGAGAGAGAGAGAGAGGACTCATGCATGCACCCTTCGGGTCCTGAGATCTAGGGTGTCTGGATTAGGTCTAGTACAGAGTGATCAGGCATCTTGCTGATGATACCTGGGTTGTCTTTTCTAGGTAGGGCTATTTTGGATTAGTTGATTCCACCGCACCAGTCCTATTTCTAAATATGGCCATATCCTGATAGAGTTGGTTAGGATACTAGCAGAGGAATCTCCAGGAGGGTTCAATTCAACCCCTTCCTTCCATCTCCCTGTGTCTCCTGCTGATTCTGTTTGTTGGCTAGCCCCAGGTGGTTGGTAAGGGAAGATGGGTGACTTGAGCCATTAAGCCAGTCCCCACCCCCCACAGCCCCATGACAGAGCAGGGTAGATCTAGAGGGACAGAGAAAATTTCCAGAATACTTTGCATTCCTGGGAGGGCTACCAATATGGCAACCAGCAGCTCCAGACTGACTTGGTTTGTAGTCTCTGTCAGAAGTTCTCTGACTTTTCCTGTGGTGATGTGAACAAATGACCATTTTACTCCAAATTGGCACCAATGCCCAACAAAAGGAATCATGCCACCTGAGTCTAGGTTGGTGAGTCTGTGAGTTTATTGAGGCTGCTTATAGGCCAGTGGATGACTCAAAGGCTGCACCCACTGGAAAGCCCACTGTGGCTTGGGTCACACCTCACATATCTGTGTTTCCGGAGCCTCCTGGACCAGGAGCAGGCAGCTACAGAAGTCTCCTCCATAGGGATTGTTACCACCTGTCTGCCTGGGGAGGGCCCCTGGGAACCTTGTCGGTCTCAGAAGCTTCCCGAGACCTGTTCAGTTCCTTAATCCTATGTGTGGAGGTCTCCTTCCAGCTAGCCCGCCTAGCTGAGCGCTAAGGAACATGTGTAAAGGAATTCAGAGGAAACTGCTGTACAACAAACCAGAAAGGAAACCTCCATCTCTCTGTCCCCTTAACAGTTCTCTGACAGGAGCCCATGCTTCTTTTAGGTCGTGAGAAGGAAGTTCAAGTAGAAACAGGAGACGGGGTACCTGCTGCTCTGCCTTCTCAGCACAGCTTGACTCAGTACCCTAGAATGTTTTCCCCTGTGACTTCCTAGCTAAGGACTATATTTGACTGCATGTAACGATAAGAAAAGTGGCAGTAAATCCAGTGGAGTTTATTTTGCCTCACGCATCAAGATCGGGATAGTGCAGGCCCAAGCTGGCCCAGTGGCTTAAGACAATTAGCAAAGGCCCCAGCTCCTCCCAACTCCTGCACCAACGTCTGTTATCTGTGGATTTTTGTGTGTTTGGTTTGTTTGAGGCATGCTTTCCTGTTGCCCAGGCTGGCCTCAAAGTCACTATGTCTCTGACTGTGGCTTCAAATTCCTCATCTTTCTGCCCTCTGCCTTCCTAAGGCTGGGGTTACAAGCATGCGTCACCATGCCAGGCTGAATGTGTGGGTTTTGGTCTCAGGGCTTGAAGGGACTGCTTGCTCCACTTCCAGGCCCACAGCTGTGTTCCAGACTGGAAGCAGCAGGGAAAGTCAGAGGACAGCAGGCAGGAGAAGCCGGGAAGTAGAGTGTTCACGGACATCCATGTCCATTTCTGCCTCACAGGGCAGAAAAGCGTCCCATAGGTGGCCCTTTCTACTCAGAAACCCAGGAAATCGTTTTTGGCCTAACTGATAACTATGGGAGCATACGGTTTCTGGTAAGACATGGGGTGCAGTATGGGAACTAGGTAGAGCTAGCGGGATCCGACTGCTTGGCTTCCGCCTTTCAGTGCTTTGCAGTTTTACTTTCGTCACTTCCCCTCCACCCTTGAAAGTAACACCTAGATCTGAAGTCCAGCTGTGGCTCTGAGTAGACTGAGGGAGTCAACAAACACAATGCAGCCCAGTGCCAGGGCTTCAGTCAGCCTCCATGCCACCCGTGCTTCATCCAGCGGCCCAACAGCTAACCACACAGAATGAGGTCACAATCACCTAGCGCCCTAGTTGATGATGCTTGCACAATGGCAGCCAGACACCATCCCAGGGTATGTCTCTCAGAACACATCCTACCTGGTTTTCTCATAAGTCACTCGTAACTCAAATCAAGTCGTGGCCTAGATAGTAAAATCCTTCCCAACCGTTCCTAACTGTTGTGAACCATAAGATCAGCCTCTTCAGGGCCGGAGAGATGGCTCAGTGGCTAAGAGCACTCGTTGCTTCTGCAGAGGACCAGGGAGGGTTCAGCACCTAGTGCCTACATGGCTCAACCACCCATAACCCCAGTTTCAGGGATCTGATATCTTCTTGTGACGTCCGATGACACCAAGGACATGGTGCACATATATGCATGCAGGGAAAATACATACACGTAAAACAAATCTTTTTTTTTTTTTTTTTCGAAAATCAGCCTTCTGAGACACAGGTCAAAGAAACACACAATAAGCACCTACTAAGTGCACTCATTGCCTTTTTAGTCCCCTTTGTCAGAAAATGCTTTATCCAAAGTTGACTAGAGATATACTTTCAGATTGCTTTATATTATACACATTGTTGAGATATTCTAAACTTTATAATGGGCCCATGTATATTTTATCTGACCAACTAACCTCTCTCTCTCTGTGGACAAAGTAAGAATAAAATTTAATTTTTTCTACTCTCTTTAGAGGAAGAGAACCAAATTTATTGCCTGCGATTTCCTGACCGAGTGGCTGTACAAGTAAGTTGTTCCTGTCATGAATATTCAGTGACGCCGACGATTTAATTGTGTTAATTTGCAACAGAAGTATAACAACTGACCTAATTCTTTTTCTCGTCAAACATGATCGTGTAACCAGCCAGAATCCAAAGAGGGCAGGGGAGCCGTTCACGAAATTCTTCTCCATTCCATTTGTAGAGGAGTGGCTCAAGGCTCAGTAAGTCTGAACAGTTGATTCCTAACTTTTTTTTGTATGTGTTTGTGTGTTTGGTGTGCATGCATCTGTGTATGTATGTCCGCCTGTGTGCGGGCCCACGTGCAGAGGCTGAGGTCGGGAGTTCTCCTTGTTCACTGAAGGAGGGTCTCAAAGCTGAGCACAGAGCTGGCTGATGCAGTTAGTCAGGATAGCCAGCTTGTTCTGGGGATGTGCTGTCCCCTGAGCCATCTCCCCCACCCACGCCTAATCTCAAGGTCATGTTCACAATGGCTTTTTTTTGTGGTATAAGGAAATTCGCTCATGCCCTGCACCCAAACTCCAGGTCAGTTATACTTGGGCTCTGGTCCTTTAGAGCACAGACTAGGCCTCCTCTCTCTACACACTGGTTCTACCCCAGAAACCTGTCAGAAATAACACAGAAAAGACATTCTTGGTCTGAGTAGTTTTTCTTTTCAGTCCTTTTCTCAGTCTTTGTGTCTGCCTCTCTGATCAAGCGGCTTAAGCTCAGTGCCCTTGTATGTGCTAGACAACAAGATTTCCCAGCTGGTCTCAACTGCGAGCTTCCTGACTCTTTTGCTGTTAGCGGCCGTCCTCTGTCAGAGGGCCATGGTGTCTCAGGGAATGCGACTGGACTTTTCTTTTACTTCTCAGCTCATCCCCATTTAAAATATAATACAACACAGTGAAAACTCCCACTGGCCATTAAAATCTAGATCTCTTTCCCTTATGGAAGCAAGTTCTCTCCCTCCACATGGTGGGTCCCAAGGATCAAACTCAGGCAGCCACATGTGGGTGGCTGCAGGCACTTTTACTCCCTGAGCCGTCTTGCTAGTCTTCAAGTCATGTTTTCACATTTTTTAATTGTCAGGGTTGCATGTGTGATCGAGCTTGTAGAGGCCAGAGATGTCAGGTGTCTTCCTTTATTATCACTCATATATATATATATTTGAGGCAGGGCCTCTCACTGAACCCTAACCTCACCCATTGGTTAAGACTGGCCAGCCACTAAGCTCTTGGGATCAACTTTCCACCGTCTCCCCAGTGCTAAGGTCACAGGTGTACGCCCACCACACATTTCCCAAAGGTGCAGAGGGTATGACTCAAGGTCCCACAGCCTCCTCAGGCAGCACAGTGCCACCTGAGCCGTCCCCCAGACCCCAAGTCACATTTTAAATGGCCAGATACCTTAGGTTAGACTGTTAGCCTCAGTGTCACAATTTTTGCTCAAGTCTGTTGAGAACATTAAATTGAATAAGTAGCCCCTGACTGACTTTGTCCATTTTGCCAGACAAAAACTGATCATAAAAAAATTTGAAATTATGGGATCAGGCCAGGTGACTTGTACCTGTATTCCTTCACAGAACTGGCAGATGGATCAGGAGGTCAAGGTCATTCTCAGTATAAAGCCCTGTCTTTAAAAAAAAAATTATAAGATACCAACACACCTTTAATCCCAGCACTCATGGAGGCAGAGGCAGGTGGATCTCTGTGAGTTCCAGGCCAGCCTGGTCTTACATGGTGAGTTCCAGGACAGTGAAGACTAAATAGAGAGATTCTGTTTCAAAAAACCAGAAATCGTATAATGTAAAAAATTAAGATTATATATTGAAAGGAGTGTCATATAGGAAAAAAAAAAAAAACCTTGATTTTTATTTAGATTTTTAAATCATTGGCTGTTGCTCAGTGGTAGAGCACTTGCCAAGCATGCACAAGGCCCTGGGTTTCACACACACACACACACAGACCATACATACCATACACACATACATACCATATACACACCACACCCACACACCACACAAAGACACACAGAGTTGCACATATATGCCCAAAGACACACACATGTACACATACACGTCAAGTCACATACACACAAGGACCTCTGCTTAATTTGATCCCTGAAGTAATGAGGTCTGTTGTTCACTGAATGACTTGTATTTTTTCCAGGATGAGGTCTGAATTCCTCAGTTGCTGCTGAGCTTTCAAAATGAGCCATTTCCCCACTTGTGCTAACTAATGAAAAAGAATCTTAGAAATCAGGGATCCAACCCAGACATGGTGACACATGCCTTTGACCCTAGCCCTTGGGAGGCAGAAGCAGGCAAATGTGTGTGAATCTGTGGCCAGCCTAATCCACATAGTGAGTCCCAGGCCATCCTGGGCTGCACGGTGAGAGAGACCCTGTCTCAAAGAGATGGAGGTGGGTGGTTAAGAGCACTTGTTGTTCTTGCAGAGCACTTAGCTTCCATTCCAAGCACCCCCATGGTGGTTCACAAACTTTTGTACTCCAGTTCTAGGGCATCTAGTGCCCTCTTCTGACCTCTGTAGGCACTGGGCACACATGTGGTACACAGGCTTACATGCAGCGAAATACTCATACACATACAATAAAGCTAAAGCACAACATACAAGACCTTCTTTCCATGAGCATCTTTGCAAATCCCTTGTCACTTACTGCACAGGAATTTTCAAGTGTCCTCAAGGTCCCCAGGTAGCAGCCACCATTGGAGCTGGAGCCACAGCACTCTGGCTTCTGCTGGCATTTGTGTTCATTATCTCTCCAGGAGATGCCCAGGAGCACGATAAAAAATGAAATCTAATTCACACTACGTAATAAATATCTGTGGAGCACCTACCTGCCATAACACAGAGAGCTTGGCGCGGAGGAAACCAGAAATGAACAAGCGCTAGAGCAGGGAGGCACGTTTCCAAGTGACTGTCGTTTGTGTAGTGAGCATTGTAATTCGGGTGTTAACAACGCACTGAAGGGAAGCTGTGAGGCAGGAGACCCTTCCCGGGCCTGGTGCCAGCTGGGTTGAGTCCAGACTTGGATTTAAGAATGTCGGCACTGTGTTCTTCCAGGGTACCCCGGAGCAGGAAGAGCCAGAGGAGCGAGCAGGAACCAGGGTCCTTGGGCACACGAGGATGGGAACTGCCCCCTAGCCCTGGATTTGGGGCCTTGGCTGTGTAGCTATGTTGTGCATTGCAATGTTGGCAGCACTGGTGCCCTTTTCCCCCTAGATGCCAGTGGCACCTCCACCCCTACCCAGTTTAAGTATTCCAGAACATCTGCAGACAGATGACTGTCTCAAGGCTGGGGGAGAGACCCTCTGTTCTAATTCTGTGGTTTTCAACACTGGGTGGATTTTAAAACCATCTGTAAGCCAGGGCTAGAGAGATGCTCAGCCTAGGCTAGCTCAGGCTAGGCTCACAACCAAAACTATAAAATCTTGTACAAGCCAGGTGTAGTGGTATGTGCCTTTAATTCCAGCACTTAGGAGGCAGAGGCAGGCACTATCTCTGTTGGTTTGAGGCCAACCTGGTCTAGATAGTGAGTTCCAGGTCAGCCAACGCTATATAGATCTTGTCTCGAAAAACAAGAATAAAAAAATTTAAATCATCTGTAGAACTTTCCCTCAAGACCTGTTAAATCCAAATTTTCAGGATGGTCTGAGCATTATTTTATTTTATTTTTTCAGTTTATTTACAGTTTCTATTTTTTGAGACAGAATCTTACCGTGTAGCCCAGGCTGGCCTCAACTTTGAGTTCTCCTGCCTTTCTCTTTCCGAATACTGGAATGAGAGGCATGTGCCAATCTAGGTTCCTGAGAAATCTTAGGATGCAGCCAGGTGTGACTTTTTTCTTTTGAGTAGAAGTCACCCTGCATCTGCTCTGGTGCTAATCACTGGTCTAACCCAGTCATCGCTCTGCTGGGTGCTTTCTTGAATAGGGTCCCCCTTAGCTTTCTCACAGCTCTTGCATACAGATGCTAAAACTGAAAAGCTGACAATAAAGGAAGTGAGTCTTGGGGAAATACAGAGAGCACTGGCCACTCTCACAAACAATAACAAGATCAGAACACGTAGGAAGTAAAGAATGGAGGAGACACTGCCCGCTCGCTCCGTACTCAGCCTTCTCTGCCTAAAGGGTTCCTAACCTTTTCCACCCCTCCTCAGAGAGCCCAGCCCAAACTACTTGCAAGGAAGGCTGTGCTAGTCAGTGCGGGTGGACTCTAGCAGTCCTGGCCACAGCCACATTTCAGAGAAGGGATTGAAACATAAGGTGATTAAGTCTTTCTCAGAGTGATAAGTCATCAGCAGAGACAGGACTTGAACCTGGGCAGCCCACCTCCCCTTGGCCCCATCAAGAGCACATTCACCACTCCAGTGCCTTAACTGTCAACTGGAACTTAACTGGATCAGTATTGAGACTGGGGGGAAAACAGACCTCTTGAAGGTGTGATGCACATATATGGATAATTTAAGGGATTTGACATGGGTGTTTTAACTAGATGAGGGTTTCCTTTCCTGCCTCCACTTTGGCAAACAACCCCTCTGTGGGATGGAATGCTAAATATATCTGCCACCACTTACTGCCTCCGGTAAGGCTGTTTGCCAGCCTGGGAGCCAGCTGTGGGTAAACCTGGCTCCTATGTTAATGTCAAAGTCCAGCTGCCTACCACTGAGTTCCGTTGTCTTGCGAGATCACAGCTGGATTGGAAGTGGTTGTCCCAGGTGGCTCCTAGTGATTATCCTGTAATGTTCCTTCATCCCCCAGGTCAGCGCATCGTCCTCTCCCTGCCCTCAATTTAGCACAACTACTTTTCCCCTGCCCTTTGTTTTACTAGAATAACTACATTTTTTTTGTATTGACAATCTTTAAAAATGCTGTTCAGTTCATAAAATTGTAACTAGAATTTATCATCTATAAAATATGCATCTTTATGAGAGCTAGATGATGCAGTGAAAGGAAATGTTTCAAGTAAAGGATCGCCGCAGAATTAAATCACTGTGGACCTAACGAGCCTTTCAGAATGAAGCTTCATTCCAACATGGATGACTTTGATTTTTCTCCTAGCAAAGGATTACTCTAAGCAGGCAGAACAGGCCGGAGGCTAGGCTCAGTTGGTACAGCGTTTGCACGCATGAAGCCCTGGATTCAATCCCCAGCACTGCCTAAACCAAACGGGTGTGGCAGTGCATGCCTGACACCTGAGCGC